TCGTCCTGTTCGCTTATTTTGTCCTCCTGTTCACTGAATATCACATTTGTTATGAGCATCGGGGTGACGATTTTAAAAATAATAAAGGGTAATAAAAATATGCCGTGTAACGAGTGTGAGAGCGAGCGACGAGTGATACCGTATGCGCTCCCGGTGCCTGCGCAGCCAGCAGCGCAGGCCGGCCACCAGCGCGCGCGTCTCCCCGCACAGCGCCGCGCCGCGCCCGTGCGCCTCCTCCAACTCCTGCTGCAGCCGCACCACGCTGCCCTCCTTCTCCCTGCACCGCGCGGACGGAGGGACGACCGTTTTAGCAACTACCACATTTCTAAAAGTCGAAACGGTCGAAGCGGTAGATGCCGTCGATTACCGGTAGTGTTGGGCGAGGTGGTCGCAGTGGTCGCGCGCCTGCTGCAGCTCGACCTCCAGGCGGCGCATGCGCTGCTGGCAGGCGGCCAGCTGCGAGCGCCAGGCGCACACCGCGCGCGACAGCACGCGCACCTCCTCGCGCACCTCCCCCTCCTGCTCCACACACACATACACACACAAACGCGTACAAACAAATATGTTGTGATGACAGACGAGGTCTCTCTATGCTACCACGAGCAGTGCTCACTTGCTGTGCGGCGAGCTGCGCCTTGCTGAGCCGCTCCCGCAGCTCCGCGGTCGCGCTGTCCCGCTCGGCGACCTCGCGCTGCAGCTGCGCCATCTCGCCGCACTTGCTCGTCAGCAATGCTGGAACGGTATCTACCGTCATCATCATATACCATAAACTCCCGTCGTGTCACAGTGCTACCGGCGTGTCTCGTTTAGTTTATCATTCCCGAGCAAATATATATGAAATGGACAAACTTTGACAGTGCTGCAGCTGTGAGGTGAGCGACTCGCACGTGGTCACCTGGTCCATGTACTTCTGCCGCAGCACGCACACCTGCTGCGCCATGTGCCGCCCCTGGGACACGCACACTATTACAGTGAGGCACGCGAGGACTTCCAGCAATAAATACTCAAGATAATAAAAATGAAGTTAAACTTGGAGTCCTCATCTGTCACTGCATAATTACCTCTCGCTCCTGCACGTCGAGTTGTTGCTCGCATTTCTCCTTCTCTTTGTTTTTATCTTGCAGAGCTTTCTCCAGCTCTTGCACTCTTCTCCGCAACTCTTTGTCTTGTATCTGAAAATACTTCATTTTTTATATTTTACCGTCACACATCAGAAGAAAAAAATGTTTATATTAAAAGAAAATACTTTTGCTCTTATTAATATGCTAGGAAAACTGTAAATGTAACAAATTATTTTTTTATAATACCTCCAAGTCTTCGTTCCTCTGACGTAGTTTAATATTCTCGTCCTTCAGTCCGCACATACAGTCGCTCTGCTAAACAAATATGTCTACATTTGATCACAATAAACAACAATGTAATGTGTGGGACACATAAACATCACTCTGTTTGTTAGCCAATAGACAGTCTTAGCTTAGCTAAGATCGCAATAAACGCACTCTGTGTGAGAGCTGACATGTAACAACATAAAGATAGCACGCACAGCGAGCAGGTCCCGCAGGCGCAGCAGCTGCGCGGCCACTTGCTGCACGTCCGCCGCCAGCTCCTCGCCGCGCACCCCCTGCGCCCCCAGCGACCCCTGCACCCCCTGCGCCTCCCACATGCCCTGCCCCCAATCAAACCACCGGCTTCACTCAACCTCTTTATTGTTTACATTAACATGCATTAAATATATTGTCTATGTTTAATTATACCTTAAAAATAAATACAAGCCATCTTGCGAGGTTATTAATTTCATATTATTAAACAATTTAGCATTAGTTGCTTTTCTGTTTAGCACATAGTTAATAACTACGCTGTTATTTGACTAGAAAATATTTTCTAAACAATAATTAGGTACTAAAGTATGACTATGCACCATCTTGTTAACAAAAAATAATAGAAACGATGTTAGTGGCAACACAGGACAAGCACATGGATTAGTGGCAATACCGAGTCGTGGTTGGAGCTGTTGAGGAAATTTGATATTTCAGCTTTCAAAGTCTCCACTTCCGTTGCGATATCCTGTAATTAAAAAGGTGATGACTGGAATTAAAAAATGTACATGCATTTCATAGATTTAGAGAGATGTGGAACGTTCTAAATGATATCCTCGTCTGACAAAATAAATTAAACTCCAAGTTGTTGTCACCTGACATTTATCGAGAGACCATTTTTGAGTGTGGACGACATGCTGCAAGTGTCCAATCTGCTCACTTTTGTGTCTCTCAGTAGACCTGACATCTGCGCATGACTTACGAAGTAAATCTATCAACTCCTCCTGCTTTGCTGTCTGCAAAAATATTCGTCAAAATAGTAAACCAATACGAGTTAATTTAACGTTGGATAATATATTTGTTTATTAACATCTTACCTCATAGAAGCATTCCCTGTACAGCTCCTCAATAACGGACAGATTGTCTCGCAGAGTGGACACAATCTTTTTTTGACACAACTCCTCCTAAAATAATCCCATTTCTTTTGATAGACACGACAAAATCTTAACTGGCAACACACAATTTTATCTGATGCATGCACTTTCCAAAACGTTTAAATGAAAAAAAAATATATAAAAATATATCTATATGAAAGAGACGTAATAACGTTTGATATTCATAGTATTGTAACAATGTGTGTGCGCGTAGAGAACTGACCTGGTGCACCTCCGTGTTGACACACATGTCTGCCGTGAGCACCGGCCGAGGGTCCGGACATCGCGGCGTCTGCTGACACTGCGACAAATTACTACTCTTATACTGATATCCTCACCATGACACAGACTATTTGGAACTAAAGACTTTAATAAAAGAAGAATATACGACTACAAAATTTCTATCTCATTCTTCCCGTTGTGATATGAGGGAGTGAAACAGCTACATGCAATGTGCACCTGGTCGAGCTGGCGGCGGTAGTATTCAGCGCGCTCGGTGAGCGCGGCGATCCTCTGCTGGGCCACCGCCAGGCTCTGTGTCTGCACGCGAATCGTCTCCTCCTTATTCTCCAACTGAAAAACAGTCACAAGCATTATAGCTCTGATGGTCAAAACGCGAGGGCTATAAGGAAGGTAGGTATTCTAAGTTCAAAGTACGTACAATGCGCATTGTGGCGAGCAGCTTGCTCTGCAGACAATCTGCGGCGCATTGCTCGCTGCCGCCTGTGCCATCGCTGACACCACTCACATCGCTGCCAGCGCCACTGGAAGCACCGAGGCTCTCCTGTACAAAGACATAGGAACATACTAGACATGCCAAATATCACATGTCTTGCCTATGTAAGTACTAGACCACTAACTAGATAATATACATAAACGATGAATAAGAACTAGTTTGCAATTAACACGGTTGTATGCGTCGGCACCGTGTGTCCAAACTGCTTTCAAACGGTAATAAAAAAAACGACTTAAACCATTCCCTTTGAAATATCACCACCTAGATGTTTTTGGAGCGATCAATCAACTGACTGCCGCTTCCTGTTGACCGAATGAAAACTGTTTGGAGCAAAAAGTATGTTTCCGTTTTGCACTGAATATTTGTTTCCAGCAGAATTCAGCTTTTAATCGATTTCCACAACAACTTTTTGTAATACGCTCCAATGAATAATTCTACCACATAACATTTGGGAATACATTTGTGTAACTTAAAGTGGACTTGCGAAACGAAACGAAGTGTTATTAGTTAATATAAGTATAATTAATTTAATAATGTAATGTATTTATTTGTTTATTATAAAGTTACAGTTATACCAAGGAGTTTACAATTTAAAACGTATCTACAGAGATGGCCGGACGACGCGGTGGCGACGTCAATGTTGCAAACGACGTGTGGCATCTTCTTAAGTTGTGGTATAAAACTGTATCATATTTCTGAGGCCAGTCGGCCTCAGAAATATTATACACAGTATGGAAATAGTCATTTCCATTAACATCAAATATCACTGGAAGACGTGTGTAACACTTTACTAGTAAATTGTCCTAAGTCTAAACAAAGTAGGCAACAAAGATATCAATGTATAACTTAATAAAAAAAAACAATATTAAATCTTACTTTGGCAAAATCGCTCGTGTCGGAGTCTCCGCACACCAATAGTCCATTAAACATCATTTTGATGCAATTGTATCGATCAACAAACACAACAAATTATGATAACTACTCAGCCGTATAAAAATATCTAATTTAACTAATAAAAACAAAACAATATTTCACTTTCATGTTAACTAAGTAATATAATATAATCATTTGATATGCAGCAAAATAAACTTTTTCTCTATGTATTATAAGTTGTTTGTTTTTATTTACTCGTCAAATTTCGCGCGCAAATGCACTTTGTATTTATAACATATCCGCGTTTTGTTTAGATGCGTTGCGCGCGCAGTGAACGGCTGAGATCGAGTGCAGCGCGTCTGCGCGTGCGCCTTGTGTTGCGTCGCGGAGTCGCTGCAGCTCGGTATATGTACACTATATATATATTGACGCGGTCGCGGCATAGACGCTGGAATTATTTTGGAAGTGCGACGGAAGCGGCCGCTGCTCCACTTGCGCTTTATTCCCATCTCCCCTAACCTGGTGAATATGGCTCGCTTCAAATAACAAATATAGATATTTCTAATAACGGCCCCTTGCCGTGCTTAACTAGTCACTCATCGTGGAATCACTTGAGATCTATATTTAGTAGAATATAGTTGTCGATGCAAATAGTAATTAACGTTATTAGTCTTTGGCTTGCAGTAACAAATGCGATAAAGGGCGGCTTTATACTAAATGAATGTGTCGAGCAAGGACCTTACAGCCTCACAGAAAGCTTAGATAATAATTATTTCCACGAGACATTTGCCACTGAAACAGCTCCACTTGTATGTCCGGCTATTCTTGTATCATCTTCTAACATGTCAAATTAAAGTTTAAACTGTTAAATTTATCTGCCGCTTTGTTTTGTTTATTTTATTTGTGGCCGAGGCTGATGGCCACACGCGATCTGATCACAAGCCGGACAGGTCAATGCTCCGGCTATAAATAAGGCATTTATAAAAATGTATCTGGAATTTAGTTAAGTTTATTTATCCTAATTTAATGGAATGTTTGATAAACGTGAAAAAGGATATGGAGAAAGCGTTAATTTTAGAACACTTATCATAAAGTACAACATATGTTTCAATATAAAATAATGTAAGATTGAATGATTGAGAATGAAGAAAAATATTGTAATGATTGGTCAACAATTCACTTAAATAATTGGCACTGTCCTTCTTTTACTTGTCTTGCAGGATATTTTATTCAACAAAATTATTTGTAATATGATCAGATAGAACGGCTACATGCAACGGATATAAAAATATGTCTCGCCACAGACGTGACACTTCCGCCGCGCCGACACAACACCGCGTCGTCGCCGCGCTTGCGACACCGCGACCCATTCATGTCTACGATACAGTCTACAAATTATGTGGCAATTGTTTGACTATTTTATACAAAAAATGCAACCATTTTTATGATTAATGTGACGAGTATCGCGACGAGAAACAAATAGCAACAGTGGGTTTTGTTGAAAATTTTCACTAGTATGGTTTCTAAACAGATCTTACAGAGATTGTAAAGATTTCAAATGGAACTATATTTTCACAACATTAGAACAATAAATAATTTAGGTTAGTAGTTAGTATAAAATTCTGAGAAAATGTTTAATTTTTAAACATGTTATCTATTAAAAACTGATATGATCTGCAGACTGTACACGAAACGAAAATGCAACTAAAAACTTTACTATTTAGTTTTACAACTTGAAACGTCGCCAAGTCAACCTTTGCCACATAAATATCCAACTCAATACTTAGCACGAAGAAGATGCAGTCCACGTATGTAGCTGAGATGTTTTTGTACCCGAGATTTTGTCAATATGTTGTGAACACAATTACTATTGAAAATTATTATACAAAAAATAAGAAGTATCGGAAATTAACGACAACTATATAATCCTTCATAATTGTCGTATATGCATAATTTATATTATACATTTACAATGTTTCTTATACCAATTAGCAAAACACGTATAAAATATGTATTAACTTACATTTGTTTCATCTTGATTCTTCGACTGTTTATCCTCGTCTCTGTGAAAACGACATCTCATCAACATCAACATCAAAACAATGTATTATAAATAAAATTATAGTGAAGTTGAGACAACTCACCCAACCAAAGCTGCATTTTTTAGTTTTCTTTTTTCCTCCGCTTTCATCACTTTTAAGCATTCGCAGTGACACTTACCATCTTTGCTTTTTGCTTTGGAAGGTTCCTGCTGAAAATGCCATCATCATCAACCTGCCCTTAACCCTATGGAGGGTCGGCACAGTATGTTGTACTCCACCATGCATCTCTATCAGCCGTCATATCTGAATGGCGGGACTCGAACCAACCAAGGAGTTGGATGTCCGTTCTCTTAACCATTAGCTATTGGTTATAGATGGTCATATTATACTATAACGTATAATCTAAATTTTATGTCAATTCTAAGAATAGTTCATTGTAACAATTAAATAACCAAAAAAAATCTTACCTCTGTGACACCATCTTGTGTGTTCTCTCGTTTTTCATGTCTGTAAATATTATTGCAAATATTTGTCAGGAAAGGTTTGTATTTATTCAAGACATGTGTAGTTTATTAGGTTTCAATGAAGATTATTTAGATTTCAGCAGTGTTTGAATGTGAAATAAATATGTCTCGATGGTTCCATTCTACTCCAGAAATCTCTGAGACGGTTCACACTGCGGACGTTAGTGACAAACTGCCACATAAACTGTGATCCTACTATTTATTACCCAAATTATCTATATGACTACTATTTTCGCTATGAAGTTTTATTTAGGTTAACAGTGTTATTTTATATGCACGTCCATTTCGGGATGTTCTGGGCTATAAATATTGCTACAAGTATGAGTTCCCCGGAGCTTTCCTTTAACCCGGCAGCACTAAATTACGTTTATTCAACAAATCGTTACTACTTTGAAGTAATATGGTAACAAACCCATTAAAGCTGTTGCTTCGTATTCTCATAGTACGCTTATCCTTATCTAGAGAGCAGCCACACCGCGCGGCCGGCTCTATGACCAGCAAGTCTCGTCTGCGGCATTTGGGGCCGCACTTCCCCCAGCCTCGATCGAAAATCACCACCGGCTCCGGGGATAACTGGCCAAGTATTTTATTAACCTTTGATATTATTATATTTAAATGTCTGTTAAAAAATAAAACAAAATCGTACTGCGTTTTTTATGGAGTCGTTGTCGTAATTGGAATGTTGTCATGTCACATACCTCAAGTGCTCCATTATTGTCTCGACTCGACTTCGACTCCTTGTCACTGCTGTGTGGAAACAAGGTTTAAAGTGCAAGCTGACGACCGCAGCTAACATGATTAAATTGCGAAGCTAAACCTAAGCAAAGCCGTTAAATGGTTTTAGCATGGTTTAGCTTAATCAATAGACAAGAACAGAATGTAATGTAAAATCACGCACTCATTATGTTCGTTCCTTTGTTCTTCATGTTTGTTTTCATCTTCGGCACCGGTGCACAGACGTAACTTGGCCATCTCTATGACAAGTAATGAGTCTGTGGTATGGCACAGCTTGCCACATTGCTTGACGTCCAGATCCTTAGCGTCCTCCGTTACATCAACAGGATCCTTCAGGAGTCCGGGGTTGTTAGTCCTTAAAAAGTTTTATAACAGTCGGGTTTTTATTTATATGAATAAATAAAAATTCAAAACCTTTGAAATGCATAAAAAGCCAACATCACGCGGTGTTCCCAGGCGGTCACCCATCCAAGTACTGACCGCGCCCGACGTTGCTTAACTTCGGTGATCGGACGAGAACCGGTGCATTCAACGTGGTATGGACGTTGGCAACTACTGTGGCTAATTTAATCTACTCAGTCAAGTGTATCCCAAATAAAAAAAATATACTAACTCGGAGGAAGTAACATCTGTTGATTTGTTAGGGCTGCAATCACACAGAATGCGCCGCGCCCGCCCTCCCCCGCCTGACGACTGCCGTTAATATAATGATCGTATTAGTTATAAGAACAAATGTATTAACAACGTATGAAAAATCTTTATTATATTATATATTATTATTTTTTTTAGTAGATATTTATTCCTAATACTTGCTATTCGTAAAATATGGATGAAAAAGAACAGATTACTTTTTAATTACTTACGTCAGAGGTCAAGTTGTCAACATTTCCTTTTCGCCTCTCATCTCTATAAAATAAAATACAATAAAACCAGTTTTTATCAGCAAATGTTTTCATTGCTTTGAATACAGCAGCTGTAAAAATTGCTCACCCATTGAAGGTTATACTCGTGCGAGTCTTCCTCTCGCTGTTGCGTTTAACGTTACTCTCGCGTTTGCACAACTTCCTTATCATCTTTAGGGACTCTCTCCTCTGGCACTCGAGGCTGCCTCTCGTTTTGTCCTCAACCTCGGCGCGCTCCGCTGCCGCCGATGAGTCGTCCATTATGGGTATAGACTCGTTTGAAGGCTGTTTATGTTGGATGATATTAACGTTGATATTTGAACATGGAGGTACTGCATTTTATTAATGGCCAGCGATATAAAAATAATACATTTGGATTTTAAAATAAGATTAAAAATATTTGCTTATTTTGAGCAAAAACAAATAGTACTGTGAATGATGCAGTGTACACACACAGGTTCTAGCGAGAATTCTGCGAGGTTTGCATCACGGCTGGTGTTGGGCGTTGACGTGGTCGGCCCCGCCCCGCGCCGCGCACGACACACCCGCCGGCCGCGATGCGCCTCCCTCTGGAACGAATTAAATCATTTATCAACTTAGAAGTCATTTTTCTTATGGTTCAATTAAATCTGTTTACTAGTTTTAGTTTAGATTCATTTTCCCAATCGTGTGGTATGTTCTCAAAAAGAGTAGTAATGCTAAACTATCACAGCTTAACAACAGGTAGAATTAAACCATTGAGAACCGAGCCGGCAATTAATGACGTAGCATCCGGGTCCAGCGAAACAAATATCAATATAATTTTTGTTTGTTAAAAAAAACGAAAATTACAAAATCATAAATTATATTTATTAACAATGAGATAGTTTAATACATAACAAAAACTGTATAAAATCTTATTAAAAATAATACTAAACGCGCTGCGCACTAATATATATTTTATCTGTATTAACAGTAACGAGTAATTGTTCAGTCGACTTTGATGGAGTCAGTGTCGTCGGGGGAGGCGTCGTGACTGTGGCACTCCCACTCGATGTCGTGTCTGCTGCGGCGCGGCTGTCGGCGCACGCACCCCGCACCCCCAGCACCCCCAGCACCCGCAGCACCGCTACCGTCCTCGCGCTCCGCACACAGCGGCTTCTGCGCACCCTTCACGCACTTACTCAGCTCCAGCTGGAACCAATGGTCGCGCTGTCAAACCACACGCAATAATTACAATCAACATCGTGATCATGTGTAAACTGTCAAACTACTGTCTGCAGTACTAAACGGTGCGCACCTTGGCCTTGGCCTGGCGAAGCTGGCGGCGCATCTCGCGGATGATGTCGTCCTTGAACTGCAGGCGCAGCTGCGCGGCGTGCCGCTGCTCGTACAGCGCGCCGCACAGCTGGCTCACCGCGCGCACCTCCTCCTTCAGCTCCACGTTCTGCTTGCGCACCGCGCGCACGCTCTCCTCGCTCCACTGCGCACCACACACACATATCAACTAAAACTACTGCTTTCACTCATTGTGTAAAACATGTTGTAGGTAATATAAATGTAGTGCGGCACCTGCCTTGTGGCTGAGGTCGAGGTGCGCGAGGGGCGCGTGCGGGGCGTGCGGGGCGTGCGGCGCGGGGTGCGGGGCGTGGTGCGCGGGGTGCGCGGGGTGCGGGGCGTGCGGCGCGGGGTGCCACCCCCCGCCGCAGTCCTGCTCCGGCACAATGTCCTCGCACTAGACCGAGCACACGACAACTTGCACAAACAATGTACGCAACAAAAACGTTCACAAATCGCGGGAGTACTATACATTTTTCGTCGCAGGTAATTATTACGATTTAAAGCATTTTCTTTGTACCGGTGGTTATTTGGTTTTACAGTTTCACACGTTGCAAAAACTTTATTTTTATTTATTACGTCAAAATTTAAATAATTTTACCTGTGCGATGGGAGAGCTGACTTCCGTCATGACTTCCTCATCTTTGGTAGGCACAGTTCTGAAACAAAATAATTAAAGCTATTTTGACAAATTCTTTCGTAGAGATGACGCAGTTTTCTGCCTTTTTAAAATACCTGCTTATCGTAATTTCTTTCTTGAGCGCGGCGATGGTGTGCTCGCACTGCTGGATATCGTTCGATAGTTTTCTTATTTCCCTGTTATATAGAAAGAGTTAGCGCAATTTACTGCACATCTCGCGAACAGAATTCTCCCATTTATCCCGACATCTTCTGAATCCTTATTATAAATATCACTCTTATCCCCTTGCTGTTTATGTAAACCTTGTAAAATTCATCTTCTGATGTGTCAAATGTCCCCCATCTTGTTTCAAATAATACATTACCTCTCTTTCGTGTAGTTTTCTTTCTGCAACGTATCGTTGAGGAGTTTCAGTTCATTAATTTTGTCACGAACGCCTTTCTTCTGCTCCCACTGCAACAATTATTCTTAATTGTAATTCACTTTAAGTTCATGTGTCACACTTTACTAATCCATTCAAGCTGTATATTGTATAGTATATTGAACTCTCATTAAATATTTTGGTTATAGAACGCTACAAATTTGGTCACTATTTTCATTGTTATCTTGAACTTAAACACGTTTTAAACTCTCTCACTAGTCATTATTGAGTTAAAAACACAGGGAATTATTTGTAAATGTGGCTCACTCAGATTGTCGAAAGTAGTAAGGTAATATCAAACAACGTTTATGGAAAAATGTATATTTAAATAATAAAAAAATGTAAACTTGTATAACATATAAAATACATTTCAAAATACAATGTATGTATGTATGTATATGTATCTGAGAGTGATAAGTAAGATTCCTTGTTGTCATCGATTTAAGTTTTGTTTGTCGGCTTCTTTTCTAGCATGCTTGTTGTCATCGTTCTCCATGTCTGTTTGTCTGCAAATATAAACATTATGTTAATCCCATATCGTCCACATTAAATATTATTTCTGGGAAGGCTGCACTAAAAATAAGACATTCGTTGTATATCTTTTATCATTACTTTGAAAGGATCGATATTGTGGTTTAATTCAAGTAAGTAAATGTATAAATACACTACTGGTCTTGTATTCACTTACAATTAGTTCACGCTGTACACGATACGAGAATATAGGATAATGCCGTGACGTAACGTGAGTTCGTATGCATTATCAGTCTCACCCGGTGCATCCGAATATGTCTCGCTCGGTGACGTCATAGAAGCGTATGTCGTGTATGTCGCGGCGGTCGTAGTCGCGCAGCCGGCGCAGCAGCTCCAGCAGGCCGCGCACGTCCGCCTCCTTGCGCTCCAGCCGTCGCCGCAGCGCGCCCACCTCCGCCACCAGCGAGCACTCGCGCTGCAACACGCGCCCACACACCCTCACACGCGCCCACACGCGCCCTCACGCGCTCACACGCGCCCACACGAGCCAACAATGACAACGACGTCGATATCCCGCACCGTCCAGCTCGCACACGACACATAAAAGTGTCACTAACTTTATTAACTTACTATATTATAAAAATCGAGACACTTCCATAAAAAATTAAAGTAATTTGTTGCCAAAATCACTTTCGTTACTTGTTGGCTTCGCATTAACAGTAATTTCTGTCCAAAAACCACACTTTGACAATTGAAAGGAACACTTTTAAAAGAAAAAAAAGCGCGAAGCATAGACATAAATTGTCTGTGAAGATATTGCCACACCTATACGTTAAGACAGAATTGCGCAAGATACCGACCTCGGAGGTACGCCGGCGCTCCATCACCAGCCTGGTGGAGATGTCGGCCTCCATCTCCTCGACGGCACGCGCCAGCAGCCCGTTCTGCTCCACCAGGTCCCTCACCCACGACCGCAGCAGCTCCAACTCCTTCTGCAAAATATGTGATGTTAACAAAGCCAGTGCTGTCACCAAACTCAACTTAATATCTCATATAGTCTGTTTATTACACCATTAAAAATAACCGTGTATCTTATTTGTATCACTACATTGTACAGTGTGGTGTCATTGTAAAATATAGGAGAAGATAGCTTCCTTAGGCAATAATAATGCGATAACCTTCCTATTGTGTCATATAATAAATCTTGGTCGTGTTTCTGAAACAAGAACGTATATATAAGCAGCTCTACCGTCTGCACGTGAATAATCTAATATTACCTGCAGTTTATTTTTCCCGCCAATCTTATTAACCAGCTCTATCCTGTGCTCGTAGGCCCTCTGCACGTCCTTCAGTATGTTGAGCGTGGGGCCGCCCTTGCACACACACAGCCCGCCATCTTGCGGCATCGCCTCGCACTCCGATAGATTTCCCTCCATTATTATTTAATTTAAATTGTACTCCTACAGCTGATCATAATATTAGCGTTTGTAAAGTGATTACTTGAGCATCAAATATCTTTATATAAACCGGGTTGTGATGGGACATTACACAGTTGATGGTTGATGTTACGTCATCGTGTCACGCCACTTTTCATTTTGTTCTTTTAAAATTACTCTTTCCAACCTTTTTGGAGAGGACAAGGAATACCCTCGGTGGAAATATAGCTATAAAAATTAAATTAAAGTAGTAATTTCTAAAGGCAAAATAAAAACATTGACCTTTTAACAACCGTTATCGGAGTGTAGGACAAATTTAGATAATGTTTTTAGGTCGTTTAATAAATTCAAATTTATGTTTAGAGGCGACAGCGACCTCAGGGAAACTCATTGCTATTTTACTGTTTCAGAGCTTGTTTTTTCTAATACAAGAACGTGTATGTTTTTAACAAAATTTTTCTATATAACTTTTTAAACTGTAGTTACTTACCATCAAACGTTACACGTGCATTATTTTAAAACAATTCAATATTGTTGGGGATAAAAGAAAACAATTTTTAACATTGTAAATGTTTATTCCAGTAATATTTTGGCTGATTCTTTGTACCTACTTAATATATACACATATCTAGACTTACACAATAAGTTAGCGTGTTCTAAACACAATCACTTACACATCTATATACTTTCATTTTAAAAAGGAACTTCACAAAAGTAAACATAAAGTATCAAATAAAGGAAACGTCCGATTCCTGGCCCGATTCCTCGTTACATTTCAGTAAAGAGGAGTAAATATTATAGTATTTTTGTAAATTATATCATAAAGTCGCTATAGAAAAACATTTTTTTTTAACATGAATTATATTTTGAAAAAAATATTTAATAAAATCATGACATCCATACAAACAAGTGGTACATGAATTTAATTCCTAAGCAAGTAAGAGTCAAACTGCTCCAATGTATTAGCAAAAGCATTGCATAAAATTGTCTACTACCAATAATAATACGTAAAGTGCATGTCGACTTAGAAAACATTTCTACCTCAATTATCTATTTTGCGTACAATAAAACCTTCATAAACAACACTGTCTTGAATCAGTTTAATAAAAGCTGGTCAAATGAACACTATGGAGGCGAAGTAATAAGAATGTAAGACAAAAAATTGTACGTCGGAAATGCAAACAAAAGCAGAAGAAATGCAAAAAGCAGTGGCGTTACAATATTTATGTAAATAAAAACAATTTGTATGTTAGTAAAAATTTGTTTTCAATCGAAACGCAACAAAAAA